TTTTCAGTATAGAGTCGCTTGTATTCTTGTTCAATAATTTCTTCCATAGGTTGAGGATAATAGAAATGACTTTGACATGGTGGAATAAATTTTAAACCTTTATTAACAATAAGTAATTGTTCATTGTATAATGGTATAATTGTATTGGCAAAAAATAATGAAAGAAGCATACTTGTATTATTAAGAACATTTAATTGTGATTTGCTCCGACGCCATCGGTGTCCATTGTATCGTTTTGTGACACCGGAGCTTCGTCGAAAAAAGATTTTAATTTTTGTTGTGTAACATAATCAGCACGTTCGATCATATGTTTTTCACGTGCTTCAATAGCTGCCATTAATTGTTTAAATATATCTGAATCAAAATTATTTTTCTTTAATTTATTGGTAATAGATATTAATTTCTTTTTTTCTTTTTTAGCTATTTTATCATAATATCGTACTTTTTGTTCACCAGCTGCTATACTTAATTCAAGCATATCATATTTAAATCGACCAATTTTTTTTAAACGGCGAGCAGCTAATATTGTTTGTTGCTGATTATCCTTATCATCGGTAGCAGATTGTTTTGATCGGCTAAGTATATTATCAATTTTATCAAGAGAATAATCGAGGAGATTGAATGCAGGTGGTAAACAATTGGAATGGATACGATGTTTTAATATTTCAATTTGTTCTTCCATTTGTTTTTTATTTTGAATTGCTTTCCATATATTACGAATTGAACGAATTTGTTGTTTATTTGGTTTTAAACCATAAACTTGTTGTACTAAACGATGATCTGTTGAGTCTAATTTTAACATTTTTTTATTGTGTTCAAATTGTTGTTTCAATTTATGTTGACCTTTACGTACAACAGCTGTCACCATTGCTGATATTTTTTCAAAGTCTAATGGAGGATTTATTTCAGATAGACATTGTGGTAATGGTTGATTACCAAATTGTTGTAATGCTTGTGATGCTTGTTGAAGTTGTCGTTCAATAGCTTTTAGACGTTGTACAATTAATGTTTTTGATCGACCATATGTATAATTCATACTATTCATAGCAGCCCATTTTTTTGATACACGTCCTGACCAAATATTTTCTTGTATACCAATATCATAATAATATTTCCATTGACTTTCTTGTAATTGTACATAGAATAAACGATGTATTAAATGAGCATATTGACGAATATAATTAATTTTATCTTTTGAATTTAATATTTTAACAATTTCCTTAGCACCTTCTAATGAACTAATTAACATTTTTTTAAATATACGATTTGATACTTTTAAATAATCAGGTATATCAGAAGCATCATTATTACGGTTAATTTGTTTTTTAGATTTCGAACGTTGCGTTTCTGATGTTCCATTTGTAGTTACTTGGTCAATTTCATTATTTGCCATCTTTTGTTTCTTTGGTGATGGTTGAGAAATAGATAATTGACTTAAAGATTTATCAATTGTATTCGCTGATGTTTCATTTCTTTTACGTTTTATTGATTTTTTTACTGTACTATTATCATATTTATCTTTACGTTGCGTCGATTGTGGAATCTAAATGAGTAGATAAATATTAATCTAGTATTTTTAATAAGAAAAATGTACCATACTTGATCATTTTGTATTGCTTCATCATGTTGTTCTTGTTGTTGAGAATTTATTCTTTGATTAACTAATTGTGTAATTGTATCTGGATCTATACCTTGTTGACGAAGTCGTCGACGTAGACGTTGTGCTCTTCTATTCCCACGGCTTTTTTTCTTCTTTTTCTCTTCACCGTGTTCCTGTGGTTGTTGTTGTTGTTGTTGTCCAGTCAAGACTTGTGTTGGTGAAAGTGTTTCATACCAACGACCTTGAGCATCTTGTAATAAACCATTGTTACGAATAATGTGACAATTCTCGTTGTTATAAAATTACCTGTAAGAAAAAAGATTAATAAAATGAAATATTATATAGATAATAGAAGCACCATGTTCTTGAGGATCACGACGAAATGCAAGACCTTGTTTAGCCAAAAATAATGTACAGTCGAAGAATGTTTCAATAATTTTTTTATTTATTTGAAAGATTGATTCTTCTTTTTGACTTGCAAGTCTATGATTTGCATCTATTAAATGTTCGACATTTAAATGTTTGTTTTTGAAAACAGATAAACGATACATCGATGACATGTGGCTAGATGATGTGAAATGTTGTTCCAATTTTCCTAGACAAGAACAAGATTTTTCAGATTTAAAAGAGGCAATTGAACATAATACCTTTTTTTCCTTTTCCTTTCCCTTTCATTTTTGACCAAGATTGAAGTCCTGTTTTAATCCAAGCAAGATCAGCCTTTTCAGAACCAGGACCTACAGAAAAATGATTAAACTATATTCATAGATCGATCACATACCTTTATGGAACAAACGACACGCAAAACAAAATGCTCTATCACTTGATTCACTATATTCCAACATCGGATATTCATTGAACCATTTTGGAACAAATTTGCACGTTGTTTTTTGTGCAACTAACGACAAGTTTTTTGGATAGTCGTTTAATACCGGTTGCATTGGACCTTTATGAATTAGATATCGAAGCTCTTCTTCAGTAAATTTTCCATTGGTAGGCCAGTAAGCTTTAAAAAATAATGTTCAAATTTGTCAGCAATAATAATTTACTTACCAGGGTCTCTTGATATAGCATCATCTGATTTTCGACATACAAATTCAACATTAGAAAACTGAGCATTCATTTTCTCAATTTGTTCATGACAAGTTGTATCAAGTGAATCAAGAATAGTTTTTAATTCAAAAACAAACGATCGAGTCTTTTCAACAAATTCTTTATGTGGAATATCATTTCGAGTAGAATCTTTGATTAAATTCTGACAAGATTTTAGGTGAAATTCAATTTGAAATAGATACGTGGCTAACATATCTCGTTGATTTATTTCACTATTTCCAGGTGTAGCATGTTGAACTGAAGAAATATAAAAGATAAAATAATGTTGGCAAATCTATAGATAACGGTTCAACGATGAACATAAGTTCGTACACTCACTTTGATTATGTTCAGGATCATCAGATGATTGGATATCAGCATTTGATTCGAAAAACACAAGAGATTCATCTGGTTCATTTGATGAAATTGAATCTGTACTTGTAATCGCAATGTTTTGGAAAGAATTACATAATGTTGCTTTGTCGCTGTTCATTGACAAATGCGAAATTTTATCAAGTAATGATGAAGTGTTGACGACGGATATTAAAGATTCAGATGTATTATTTGCTGCAACATCGTTGACATGAATTGATTGAATTTTTGATGTTCCAGATGTTGTTGGTGTTGTTGATGAAGATGTTCTGGATGTTGTTGGTGCTCTTGATGAAGATGTTTCAGGTGTAGTTGATGTTCTTGAAGATGTTT